TTAAGGCTTTCTTTAGGTTAAGATAATTTCTTTAGGTTAAGTTCTTAAGAGGGGTATTTTTAGAATGGTTTTAGTTGTTGTCCTTTTTCATTGATAAGTGGTAGGTGTCAACAATATTGTATCCAAATTCTACTTCCCATCCTCTGACTTCAAATCTCAATCTTTAAGATAAGTTCATGAGATCTATTATACAACATGGTGACTGTAGTTGAAGCAATATATTGCATTCTTGAAAATTGCTGAGAGTATTTAGATTTTATGTTTTCCATCACAAAAAGTAGATATTGAACTAATGAATATATTTATTAGCTTGAGCTAGCTATTCAAAAGTATTTGCATATATCAAAACATCTTGCATAATGTTTGTTATCTTATTTACAAAGTAAAAGTAACAAAGTTGCTGTTCTGTTGTCAAACAAATACCCAAATGTCCTCCTCCCTCAAAGACAGTCTTGACCAAGTTAAGTCAGAAAACAAGCTAAGTTATATCAAGTTTAACATTTTATATGTAGCCAAGTACCTTAGAGTTTTTGCTCAGAAAGCATGATACCGAATTTATTATTAATTGGAAACACAAAGCTACTATGATTATTGTTAGAGGACGGTGCTGACACAGATGTTTCCTTCAGGGAACATTCTGTGAGTGGGACAGTGATGTTTGCTTTACTCTTAGTAAGTGCATTGATTTTACTGTTCTAATAGCTTTTCTCACCCATCTTTAGTAACTTAAACTGTAACTACATGTTTTTATTTTTCTTGAATTTTAAAAAATCTTTTAAGTAGTTGTACAAAAGGGTTTTCATACAACAAAGCAGTTTACTCATGTGTCTTGATCAGCGTCACCCTTTCAACATTCTCACCTGTGTTTTAATAAAACTTTTCTACCAGTAGCATTAATTCATACTTTGTTTACATATTTTCTTTACATATTTGTACATATTTTGTGACTTCGTAATTTTAACAGTGAATTATGAGTGCATCTTAATTTCATTAAACATTATTCAAAAATATGTTTTCCCAACTCGTATACTTGTAACTTTTTTTAACCAGATAATTGGGTTGGCAATTTTTCACTGCTGTGAATTTTCTGTATGTATCACTATAAATTGTTTGGACTTCTGATTCATTTAGAACAGTATTTTAGAATAGAAATTACTGTGGAGAAGATTATAGTTTTAAAATACATAATATAAGCCCATAAGGAATTTCACTAAAAGGAAATATGCAATTTTTTGCAAAAAAAATCTCCCTCAGGGTGAGCAAATGAAGTCATTATTATTTAGTGTACATTGTATAAAAATTGAACTATATACTTTGAAGGTAGAGATTTGAGGGGGAAATGGTAGAGAATGATAGGAGTGACACTGATAAACAAGCCTTTTACTCATAAAGCTGATTTACAGAATTGAAACCTCTTTGTACAACTACTTAATAATAATATTAAAAAAATCCTCTTTATGCTAAGCTTTAAATATTTATGGAAAATATTCTGCAATAAAAATTTCCTGTTGAATAGAAACTGAATTTCAGCTAAATTTTGCTTCATTTGGTGATGTATTTCACTGAGTAGAGACCATGTTATAATTTACCTGCATTGATGGATGAGTGTCATTCCCCCTTCCTAAAATCTTTTGTGTTTAGACAGCATCCTGTTTATTTTGGCCAGTGTGGGGCTTGGACTCAGAGTGTGGGCTCTGTCCCTGAGCTAGCATTCTACTACTTTGAGCCACAACTCTACTTTTCAGTTTTCTGGTGGTTATTTGGAGATAAAAGTCTCACCAACTTTCCTGCCTGGGCTGGCTTTCAACCATGATCTTCAGATCTTGGCCTCCTGAATAATTAGGATTAAAGGCATTAGCCACTGGTTCCTGGTTTAGACAGCAACTTTTATGGTATGATTTTCCCTGCAAGTGCTTTCTGGGCATTCTTATTTTAGTGGTTTTACTGCCTGTACTGTAGGAAGCTATTCAGAAGCATGTAATATTTGAATTTGAAGTTAATAGCTCCTGTTGTTGCAGCCAACTCTGTGTGTGTGTGTGTGTGTGTGTGTGTGTGTGTGTGTGTGTGTGTGTGTGCGCGCGCATGCACGTGTGCTCTCAGGAGCAAAAAAAGGGACAGAAAGGAATGTTGAATATGAGAGAAAGTGCAACATTATAATCCAATATATAACAATAATAATATCTTAATGGATGTGAGCTACCTGAAATTATAACAGAAATTATTTACTGTACTCTAATTCTTCTAATACTATAATGAAAGCGTTCTTCTTCTCATTTGAAAACTGAGCAAACCAAAATCCACAGAATTTGTATTTTGTTTATATGGACACAGTACCATGAAGAACAGATGGAGAAGGTGAATCTTAACTTTGGAAATGATCAATTTAAGAGAAAAATTTCTTGTTAGAGCTTCAAATAGTAATTTGGAGAGACAGATTTGGAACTTGGAAAAGTGAATAGAGATACAAGTGTAAATTCCAAAGATTCTATGAATATGGAATCACAATAAAACCTTTCACTTTTTACAATTAATAATATGTGGAAATAAAAGATTAAGATAGGTTTGTTAGCTATTATGGGCGTATCATACCAGAATAATTTGCAGCTTATCTCTGTATTTCTCCCTCTGTCCCTTTTATAGAATAGGGAGCTTGACATGGGAAGCATTAATTTTGTTAAACAGAGGCTGCAGAATATTGTTAGGAGGCAGTATTATAATAGGTTTTCTCAGGCCTGCCCTCCTCCATCACCTTGTTGGTAATGAGCTGCTACAGCACAGACTCTAACTAGAAGGATAGGCTCAAACTTATGGAATGTATTTCAAAATAACACATTATTTTGAGCCATTTTTAAAAAATTGATTCTGGGACCTTCCCAATACATTCATTCATTCATTCTTCATTTTTTAATTTTAGAATCTATACCCATAGAAAGAGAAAATTGGCCAATTGCCTTTATTTTTATTTCTAATTAGATATCCTTTCTATTATTTAATTTATTTGGAAAAAAGCAGGCAAAATGTATTAGTACCTTTACTATTACAAGGGAGAGGTCATACAAGTATAGGGAAGTAATTTACTTGACTTTAAGGAATGTGGGCCCAGAACATAGGAATTAAAAAATAATAAGCCATGAGGGATTACCTGAAACTGTATTTCTTCCCTTTTAGATATTCGGGAGTACTGTCTTATGGACAATTTTGAGGCTTTAAAGTTTACCTAGATTTCCTAATTCTCCCTTTTCAAGATAAATTTTGCCATCCTGATCAGTGAATGCTATGATCGGATTGAGTGTAGATAGTGGAGAGGCAGTGTGTGTGGTATATATGTGTTTGAATAGTGTGTCAGAAATCACCAACAGGAATGTTTGTTTGAAACTACAGGAATGTTCCAATACCTGTATCTTTTGTAATACACTCTGGGGATGAGCCAAAGTTCTACTGTGAAACATGGCTTGCTGGAAGGAGTTGTAAATACTCTCATATTAAGATGGGAAAGAGAGTTGAGAAGTACTGGCTGAAACAGGAAGAGTCATTTCATTTGAAGAGATAAGATGTTTCTAAATTGCATTTATGCACTCACTGTCAGCAATATACTTTTAATCTCTGAGTAACTTTAACATAAGTCTGCTTAAGGTGATTAGTAACTAAAAGTAACTCTCATTTTAAATATTTGGGAGTTTCAGAATGGGGAAAGAAAAACTTACTTTGCACAAGCTTTTTTAAAATGAAAAATGCATGGTATATTTTCATGAAAATAAACTCTATCACTTTTGCAAATATCATCAACCTTTAACAATCAAAAACTCTCTTGGCAAGAGAAATGGTAAAGCTATACAGAATTGTGGTTATTGTTACATTGTATTGTTTACTGTAAACCTGGTTTAATATTGGTAAATACAGTGTAGCAGAAACTGAACTGTTGTGAGCTATCTGGGCATCCATCCAAGATATTAAAAATACTGCCACATACTAATTTGGGTTTATGAATAATATTTTAACAGCTCAAACTGAAATTGAGCCACATGATGTATCTTAAAAATTCTTAATCCACTAGGTGAGAGTAGTATACGTATATATTGTATTCTCAATATTCCATATTTGAATAATAAACTGTAAGGACCCACATGCTTAATGTGATCTTCAATCTTTAAAGTTTATATAACACTGATGGTTTGCTATGAATTCAAATGCATTATGAATTAAGATACTAATTGATATAACAAACCTAAAGAATAAGGAGAAGTTGCTAAACCAGTGTTAAAATAGATAGTCAACAAAAATTTTGGCATATAGTTTTACGAAGAATTAGGATTTACTTTTAATATTCATCCAAAAGATTGAAGGACATAAAATTGTTGGAAAAGCCTGATAACTAAATTAATATTTCTTGCTAAAAACATACTTTTACCTTAAAATAGGATTTGGGGTTATTAATTTTGGGTTATAAAATATTACGTTAAGGGGCTGGGAAAGTGGCTCAGTGGTAGAGCTCTTCTCTTGCATGCATGAGGCACTGGGTTTGATTCCTCAGCACCACATAAGCAGAAAAGGCCAGAAATAGTGCTGTGGCTCAAGTGGTGGAGCACTAGCCTTGAGCTGAAGAGCTGAGGGACAGTGCCCAGGCCCAGAGTTCAGGCTCCACAACCAACACACACAGACACACACACACAGACACACACACACACACACACGCACACAATATTATGTTAAGTATAACAAAGTGAATGATGATTGGTTTGTGGATAATTTGAGAAAGAAATCTATATTTAGTTATTTATTTCTAAAGAAAGATATATTTATCTTTTCTTTCTGTGATTTGAATGAGTTCAAGTTCTTTCTGAACCTAAATATCTATAAATTCCCATTGAAAGGGCATGGGAAAATTTTATTTTCTGTCACTGTTACTGTATAAAATGTATTTGCTGTGAAAAGATGTACATAATTTTCTAAATGAATTTTAAATATTTCTCTTCTCAGTAAATGTTTTATTCATTTTCCAGGTTAGCACTCTATGTATATGAATATCTGCTCCATGTAGGAGCTCAGAAATCGGCCCAAACATTTTTGTCAGAGGTATGTTTCATATATTTTCTACATTGTATTATCTTATATAAATGTATGAAAAATACATTGAACATTTATTTGAGAAAAATTTTTATGTATTATATACTTCATGCTTAATTATCAGTATGCATAATACAGTCCTTATGGTTTAAATATAAGCATTATCTCTAAAATGCCATTTCTTTGCCACTATCCATTTAGCCCTCTGAGAAAGTCAGTTTATCTTCAAAAATTCTCCACCCTACTCAGAGTAACATTATTTTGGCATCATTATGGTTTTCGCTTGTTTGTATTTTTCATGGATAACAGTTGATTAAAAAACATTTTTGATAACTTTCAAGTTATTCTCTTTTATTTCTCCTTCCCTCTCTTCTCCTCTCCTATTTTTCCCTCCCGTCCTTTGTCCCCCACTTTTTTTCAGAAAAGGTCTGTTATATAGCCCAGGCTCACCTTGAACTTACTATACTTTACCTCATTTCCTAGGATTATAGGCACATGCTACCATGCCTCATCCCTCCTTTACTTTTTAAAAGTTTGAATTTGAACTTTCTTATAATGGTACAAGAACTTCTCCAACTTATTGATGATAAGGACAATAAAAATACTGAGTTCTGTTCTATGACTGGGATATAATCTACCAAAGTACATTATGTATCTGTAACTTTTTGAAGAAATTCTTAAGTCATACCCTCTTATTGCTGTTTATTCTGATTGGAACAATACCTTTCAGTTAATTGACCTACATAGCTCCTGGCAACACAACTTAATGAGTAATGGAAGTAGAATTCAAACTTTATCCATGTGAATTTCAGGGCCCCTGATTTTACCTTTATATCTATTATACAATATGATAGTCACTAGCCATATGTGGAGTTGGAGCATTTGAAATGTTTATGTTTATATTTTGAGCTGCTATGTTTATATTTTGAAGGCTTATTTTGAACAAAAAATACAAAAATATCATTAATACTTTTGAAATTTTGGTCACACTAGATTTTGGATATATTGAATACAATAAGATACTATTACTAAAACTAATTTTACCTTTATGTTTTGACATATGGCTATTAGAACAGTTAAAATTACGTATGTGGTTCTCATTTGTGGCCCATGTTTATTTTTCTTTTGGACAGTGATACTTGAAATAGCATGCGTCTAATGATCTCACTAGTTTGGTCTCCAGTAACCATGAGATACGATAGGGAACCAATTCTCATAGTGTCTTGCAATGAGGGATACCTTTCCTAAAATAAATTTGTACATAAGTTACTTAACACACAATCCTTTTTCTAGTTAGTTTATGTGAATTAGTTAGGCCTATTTGCAAATTAGGAATATTAGAGATTTGGTCAGATCATGTAAAAAGTATTGTTTTACCATAGCAGGAATATAAGCCTTTTATTGAAAAGTTATTCAAGTCAAACAGAAGTTGACTGTATCTGTGTTTCATTAAATAATTAATTAGAAGACTTTGGGTTATGATCTTTCTACTATCTTCAATATTTGCTATTACAGAGGAAGTAATTTAAATTGCAGAAAGGGTGTCCTTAATCCTTTACTCTTAATGACTGCCAACTTATTTAAAACAAAAGCCAACACTGGAGATTTAAACTATTATTCTAACACATTGATAACTTGATGAAAGAATTTACTGATCTCATATTTTTGCTTCAAGTACTTTTTTTAAATTGACTGACTTTACGGAATCCTCAGGGACTCCCAAGACTATATTTTTCACTGTCATTATGGTTATTAAACTTTATGACAAAAGGAAAATGTTGCTATTAAAGAAGTTTAGATATTTGGATTCAAATGAGTTATATGGTATCCAGATAAATACTAAACTCCGAGTTTAGTAGAAAACTGATATACAAATTTCTAAGACTGTTTGGTAGAAATGGAATTAGAATTTCAGAACAGACTTACACATTTTGACAAGTATTTGCTATGATTTTATTTTCTCTGGCTGCATTTGAAGTACAAAAACCAAAGTTTCTCTGAATTATTAGTCAGGCTGAATTTTATGAAAGAAATTAGATAAACTGAAAACAGATGACAATGGACTCTTGGTTTCTGCAGTTGTATGAGTCCAAGGAGATTATCACTGAGGAAAAATAAATTAAGGTCAAGATGCATTGGCTCAATACTCGTAAAATTATTCAAGTTTACATATATCTTAGTATGTACAGTATGAGCTATATATAACTTAAAATCTAATGGTAATAGGCTACATTATTGCCACAAAGTTATATTGTACATATTAATACTGTACCCTGAAAAACAAATCCTATTTTAATATTCTTTATCTCAAATGCTGTGGTTGCTTTTATTTTGTCCATAATGCCATGCAAGTTCTATTAATGAAGAGACACTCACCTTGGAAAAATCTATTTTCACTTTATCACATTAAATAGGCAAATGATATTTTTTTTGGCTTGGAAGGATTACCATAACTTTTATGTGTATTTTGAGCATCATATTTTTTCTGGGACATATTTTTACAACACTAATTTTGCAACATTTCTTAACACTCGCATTTCACACAGTGATTTAAACACAACTGAAGTAAACACCAGGCTGAGAGTTTCTTTCCATCAGCTGAACTGTTCTGTGTGTAAATGAGAATTGAGTTTTCTTTCTTTTTAAAATTAACGTCAATTGTTGCCTAAGAAGTTTTATTTTGATATATCCATATATGTACAAATGTCCCTTAATCAGACTTACTTTCAGTGTCACTCTCCCTCATCTTTTTCCAAACCAATATAAACAAACTTTTTGCTTTTTTTTTTACACCTGTACATAAATGTTTTTGATGATATCAGCCTCCTTCGTCCTCCTAGTTTGCCTTTCCTCACTAGTCCCTACATCCCAGACAGGACATGGTTTCCCTCATTCATTTGTGTTAAAGTGCATGTTAAATATTTCAGTAACCTTCATCAGGGTATTTCACATATGCATATAATATAATTAGATTGACCTCACCTACTCTTACTTTCCCCAATCCTGCACCCCTCACAGCTTTCAGTGAATTTGGTTTTGCCATCTTCATTAGCAGATGCGGTATATTTCAGTATTGCTTACCATCTAATATTCTCTTTTCCTTCTCACCTTCTAATGTGCTCAAACATTGCTACAAATGCAAACATGTTGTATGTGCTTGATGTATTAAATAGCTGTAGAGTATCTGAGCTGTTTCCATAGCTTGGCTATTGTGAATAGTGCTGCAATGAATATGAGTGTACTGATTTACATTCCTTTGGATAAATGCTCAAGTAGTTGCATTGAGTTTTTTCGGATATCTCTATACTGATTTACACAGAGGTTGCATTAGTTTATATGTCCAACAACAATGTGTAAGTATTCCCCTGCGTACTTGCCAATATTTATGGTTGTTTGTTGTTATTGTTGTTATTTATTGTTCTTTGTTATTATTATTGTTTTTGATGATGGATAATCTTACTAGAGTTGCCTAGTTTGATTCATTTTTCCTTTATGCCAGGATTATCAATCATTTCTTTATATATTTATTGGACATTTGTACTAGTTTTGAGAAGCATGTGTTGTGTTTAGTACATCTGTCTATTATGAATTGGGTTACTAATTCTTGGGAGTTTTGCTTTTTGAACTTCCTGTATATTCCTGTTATTAAGCTCCTTGCACATGTATAGTTGGCAGATAGTCTTTCCAATTTTGTAATCTAGTTTTTAGTGTAGTGACTGCTCAGTTGTGAAGAAATTTTTATTTTGATTTAATTCTATCTGTCAATCATTGTTTTTACTTGCTGAGCTATTGCGGTTCTATTTAGGAATTTACTGCCTATGCCAATATGCTCCCATGTTTTTAAAAAAAATATTTCCTGTAATACTTTCAGATCTAACGTAAGATCCTTAATCCACTTTGAGTTGATATTAGTATAGAGTAAGAGATACTTAGTTTCAGTCTTTGCATGCAGAGTTTATTCAGCATTATTTGTTGAAGTGGTTATCTTTTCTCCATGTGTTTTAGATCTTTTGTCAAAAATATTATGGCTTTAGCTTCATGGATTTATTTTTGCATCTTCTCATAATCTGCTGGTCTTTGTGTCTGTTTTTGTGCCATTACCATGCTGTTCTTGTTATTATGGCTCTGTAGTATAATTTGAACTGATATGGTGATCTCTCAAGTGTTACTTTTTTGCTCAAGATTGTTTTGGCTATTTGGGGTCTTTTAAACTTCCATATGAATTTTAGGATTGACATTGGTATTTTGTGGGGATTGCATTGAATCTGTAGATTGCTTTTGGCGGTCTAGCCATTTCATAATATTGATTCTGCCAATCCCTGAGCATGGATGTTCTTTCAATCTTTCTCTTCAAGGTTTTATTGTTTTTGTAGAAAGCTTTCACTATTTTGATTAAATTTATTAATAATTCCCCCCAAGCTATTGTGAATGGAACTGTGCTCCCAGTTTCTTCCTCAGCCTGTTCATTATTGGTATACAGAAAAAATTCTTTTGTTATGTTGATTTTGTATTCTGCTACACTGTTGAAGATGTTTATAAGATCTTGGAGTTTTAGGTTGGAACTTTTAGGGTCCTTTAGTTATAGGATCATAATATCTGCAAGTAGAAATAATTTTATTTTGTTCCTTCTTTGCATCCCTCTTATTTTTTCTCTTGCCTTATTGCTTTGGCTTTGAATTCCAGTTTTATGTTGAAAAGAAGTGGAGAGAGTTGATATCATTCTTAACTTAGAGGAAATGATTTTGTTTTTTCTCCATTTATTATAATTATACATAGGTTTGTTGTATGTAGCCTTTATTGTATTGATATGCATTTTTTCTATTCCATTCCTTATTTGTTCAGAGCCTTTATCATAAAGGAATGTTGAATTTTGTCAGAAACATTTTCTGCATCAAATGATATGAATGTATGATTTTTTATGATTTCCTTTTTATTGTAAAGACACTGTACAGAGGGGTTACAGTTACATGAGTAAGGTAATGAGTACATTTCCTTTTGAGCATTCTCAC